ATCAGGACTGTTCAGTAAGATTGAAGTGATCGTGCGAGTGTGTGTGAATTGGCACACGCGCTGGTAACAGCACTCGTTATAAACTGTGATCTAGGTTTGCCTATTTCCATATCTTTTCGTCGCCCTTGTCTGCGTTTTTTATTTTTTTGTGTGTATTCTGTGCTGTAGACAGAAAAGCGAGATAAAATGTTATTGTAATCAGGGCTGAGGAGTGACGAGCTTATTCCTAAACGCATAAGAGATTGCCAGAAAGATTTACATATTTCACAATGCTGAAACGTTTGTCAAATTATTGTGTAAAATATAGTGAAAGAGATAAATCGTCAGATATTTTCCTCACTGTTTACATTTCAGTACCGGTATCCCTTTGTAGGGCGGTGATCTTTCACAACTGGAAAAATGTTGCTGATACTAGGGAATTCAGGAATACTGTTGAAAATGCTATATTGATTTCGAGTCAAATATCTATTAAGTCTTGAATTTGGTTGCCATAAAATATTATGTTGCTTACTACTAAAATGTTCGTTAAAAACCGTTGATCCTGATAAAATCGTCGTTGGCAAATCATTGAAATATTCACTGTACCAAAGTCTGGGTTTCGGTACAGATTGTGAGTGAGCGATTGCATAAGCCATAATATTTCTCGATCGGTTTTGCTCGGAACCGATGTAATGATGCGGTTGAGATCTTTATTTGACCTTATATATCAAACTCTTATCATTTCTTCTTCCAATTCCAACTTTCCCACGTCATTCCTTCCGCTCTCTTCTTTCTGTTATCCGACGTTGAATTTGCGTTGCGTTGGTATACTGTATTATGGCTCCCATTATTTCATGCATGAGTGATCTTGGTTTCTCTCTCGCCCTTCATTGTTAATTACCAACTTTCATACGAACCATCATACCTAACCCTCACCTGACCACACCATCCGAAAATTACGTCACTACGACGTCACAGTGACGTTAATAGAGCCCTTCAAACTATGCGAACTGTCATCCAAGACGCGCAGACGAGAACCCGAAATCGAACAGCCATTTCTCTCGTTTTTTCGTCGCAACGATCCCGATAGGAGAGAGATCGCTGACGTTAGTCAGTTCTTTATCGTCGGCGCCGATGCCATTTCGGGCGATCGTACGAGTATTTGGCAAGCTCTATGGCGTGATTGTGACGTCGTAGTGACGTAATTTTTGGATGGCGTAGTCGGGTGAGGGTTAGGATTGGCATGTCAAAAATTGTTATGCTACGCCTACTAGAAGTACGTTAGGTACGAAACTACACGAGACCCCCAGTTATCTGGGGATTGCTGGACTCCTTGCCGTCGCTGGGTGGTTCACGTACCCGCTGGTCGGTTACGGCTTCCTCCACCACCAAGTCCATGCTTCCGAAAACAAACAATATAACCAATCCCATACCCGACTTGGAATGGTAACCGGACGAGAGGCCGTGGTTCGCCATATGGATAAGCTGTCCTAACGGCTTTCCTCTCCCCCGGAATAAATATGTAAATCCTATCCTATCTCTGTATCTGCACATAGGTACCGTACACTCTGGCAGACCTCCCATGCATGTAATTTAAAGTAAAGAAGGCTTCAATTTAGTAATTGATGGGAGCACAACATTTTGAAATTACTGTACCGGCACGGTCTGACGGTACCTACCGTACCGTATCACCTCAATGACCGATACGCGGTACCGTACTAAGCAGCCAACGTCACAATGCTGGAGTGTACAAACGATAGGAAAACTTCACATTCATCTAAAACCATATCGAGTTCAATTCCTGGATTTCGTGATGACATTTTTTCTTCTGTTCAGCAGCTACTCAACTAAATAAACATGCTAATACCGTAAGAACACGCACTGTACAAGCCAATGATACAACACCACATTTGGCAAAACAAAATTTCATTCTGCTGTAACGTGCAAAATGTTTAGAATTTTACATCCGTCAGTGGGCGCAAAAGATTGAGTAACTGCATTCATGCGTAACAGATCAAAATACATCCGCTAGTTTGCGCAATGTGAAAATTCGTTACATGGCAACCGAGAAGAGCGCGTCGGAGTGTGGGTGTTAGCTGGTAAAAGTCCAAAATGATTTGCTGTTTTAGAACAGGAAGAGTTTGCTAGCAAGCGATGTGTGCAGACCATTATTTTTACCACGAATCCAACTTTTAAAGCACACTATGATCATTGCTTCTTTATGCCTAACAGAAATCAGAACACATCGTTAAACTCAATCTACCTGGAAACCCCGTGCTCCAAATCAGCTCTTGACGGCACAATGTATTCTCACAGAAACTCTGTTTTTGCTGATTTATAGGATATAATTACCCACAGGCAGGCGCGCACCCAGAATTTGTAAAAGGGATAGGCCGCGAGACGAGGCCGTTTCTCTTTCAGTTTCGTAGCTCACATAAAGTAACTACCTTAAAATGATTTTAAAATTTTGCTTAGAAATTTAATAACAAATAATGCCTTGTTCCCATTTCCAAAAGTTGCACGTTTTACGGAAAAGACGCGTTTACTACAATAAAAATGTGTTACCATCTGTCCTATATTCTCTGCTTTTCCGGTATCACGGGCCAATGAACGCAGACTTCTGCATGACGTAACAAATAATATTGGTCAGCCGTGGTCGGATGAATACCAAATGTAGTACTGCTCACTTTTGCGTTGAGTAGCCTTTCCATAGTCTTTTTCGGTTATTATTAGTTAAGTTATTCTAAAAAGGTGTTAAAAAGTATAAGTAAGCTATTAAACACTTGGATATCCATAACATAAATAGCAATTTTAGTTGAGCACTAGCTCATAAAACGTTGTTGAATAGGTACGGGACGATAACTCCAAAGACTGAAGGAAGGCAAGACCTAGCTAGAATATTATGTCACAAACAACGATATTTTCTTGCTTGTATGAAAGGTCCATGATTAATTTAATGACGATTCTTGACTATTCAGCAGACTTATATTACTATATAGCAGGGATGGCCAATCTTTTTCAATGAATGAGTCAAAAATTATATTTTCATCGCGGAGCGGAAGAGAGTGGGTCACAGAATATTAATCAATGTTTGTATGTATAAGAAACTTCTGGAACAAATCTTAGAAGATTCTGTTGGTGTTAGTGAAGTTTTGGGCCATAATTATGCAGCACTTTAATTGGGGACTTTTTATGGCACTCGATTTTATGAAATTAGATTACGAAACACGCATACGAATTACCAAAAACGTTTAGGACGATGCGGCAAATTATTTTACGGTTTCAAAGAGTTTGGAGGGAATTCACTCTAATAGTATTCTATTTTTCGAATAGCTTTCAACCACATTAATGCACTTTTACACTGCCCCATTGTTATTTCAGATTTCTAGGTTTTTATTTAAAGTCTGAAAGATTTTGTTTTCTCACCGGCAATATAGGCGGGAAACTAATAAAATGCAAAAGTAGTTCTCGTATAACCCCCAAAATAGTCTGCAGATACACTTCCGTAAGAGACAAGACGTCGCGAAAAATTGACAGATCAATTGCATTGTTATGTCATAAACGATGTCAGAGCCAACAGCTGAATAACGGTACACAGCGGTGCAGACATGGATCCAAAATTTGGAATTTTAAAAATTGACAATTCGAATATGAGCGATCGCAGCCTTGACAGCCCAAATGACGGTGCATTATGGTTGTTTAGTGATTGTTAGATTTATTTAAGGCCGGTTTTCTGAAAAATAAATCGTTGAGTTTTCACTTAATGATTGACAGTATTGTAACATACAGTAACAATTTTCTATGAATGTGAATTACACATTAGTGAAAAATTACACAATAAATGAAGAAGTAAAAAACATCAAGATCCATTGAGAGTTAAGATTACATCAAATATTATTATTTTTTAATTATATACCAAATTATCCATAACGCAATATTTTAAAAATCAGAATGGGAGATGTATGAATCACAATAGGAACTTCTTGAAACACTAACATGATTATTAATGACAATATACACCGATAGAAAATATTTTTGTGCTTTTTAGCTTTTATGATTTTTTTAAAATACGAATTTATAACTTTAGATTAATAACAATAGGTAATGAATAAACAATCAAATGAGAATCCAAACGAAATAAGCTTCTTATTTCTTGCACACAAAATATCTGCAATATGCTATCAAGTAAGGCATGTAGAAATTATGTGACTGTTTAGTCGAAGCAGTGGAAATAGTTTTGTATGAATCTATTTTGATGGCATGATATGCCAAAATCGTATGTATGATTTATTAATAAAATAATCCAGCCTTCAAAACTGCTGTGCAGGAAACGGTTTTTCAAATTCCAACAGACTATTGTACAATCTGCATTATTTCTATTTTGGGTGACTTGGTAAGTAGTTTTACATATATAAATATATGGTAGTATATACTGATGGTGTCGTTCGTGATTCTACACATAAATATAATCTAACTCTTGAATTAGTAGCATTGTTAAAAAAGTACCTTCAGCGTTCAGTCACATCTACAAAATTTTTGCTGTTTTTTCAATTTTTTGTTATAATGACACATATGGATACAGATACACACATCTACAAAATTTTTATTAGTTTTTATTTTTTGTTATAATGACACTACAAAAAATTTTATTATTTTTTGTTATAATGACACATAGGGATACAGATACACACATCTACAGAATTTTTAATGGTTTTTATTTTTTTGTTATAATGAAACAGAGGGATACAGATTCACACATCTACAAAATTTTTATTGGTTTTTATTTTTTGTGTTTGTTTTAATGAAACATAGGGATAGAGATAACACATCAACGAAAATATATTGTTCCTAATTTTATTATAATGATGATACGATAAGCTAAGTGGAGTGAACCACCAGTTAATTACGATGTGAACATAACAAATAAGTTTCACAAAGTCATGATTATACAATGATATTACCATGATTTGCACAACAACATCCAGCAATTTTCATATGTTATTTCATTTAACCTGACAAAATCATCAATTCTTTTTTCCAAGCAACGAGCAGTGATCCGAGGACAAAGTCTTCCAATTTTATCTATCTATTACATTTGATTCAATCCGTAGAACTTTATAATTTTGCATATATGCTCTAACTTAAAGTTAGAATCAGGAAAAAAGTTCGAGGGATGCAAAAAGCTCTATACAATAAGAGAACAATATCTGCCAGAAAACAATAAAATCGATAATCTGTGACATGTAATCTGACGGAAAAAACATAAATTTTGTTGTTGTTTCTTTTAAACACTGGTTTCGCGTTGAATAGGGGTTTGAATTTCTAAAAATAAAAATAAATTCATATTATTAATTCATTGCGTGGCTTCGGTGTGGATAAGCGATGGGGGCAACATTTTGCAAACAATGAGTGTAAAGCTATAAATTATATTTTCAAGCGGTTTTGATTCCATGTCGATGTGGCCTAATCCAGTCATTGGATAGGGAATCAGAGAAACTTGTTGAAATATTTTTGGAGTGAATAGAGAAAGATGAATATGCGCTTAAGTACCTACGACCCTTTGTAATGGCGCTGTTAAATTTTCCATCTGTTGACATGAACTCCTCTGAACATCTCTTCTATTCCTACTTGGTTTCGTAGCATCTTCGAAAAGAAAAATTGAGTCATTTTCATTGATTTCATTCGCATCCTTCTATTTGACACATTGATGCAACAAAGAGTCTAGCACAGGGGTGTCAAACTCGTTGGTTTCCGAGGGCCGCATTGCATTTTAGGAGTTGTGCAAACGGCCGCAAACAGTTTTTGATATATTTTGATAATCTATATTTGAAGCATATTTTCAGATAGTTCGTGACATACCGAATGAAGTTTTATCATTTTTTTAAATTTCAAATGCCATTTACATATTAATTTTGCATTTTACTATTATTTTAATTTACAGTATTTATTACAAAAAATCATAAATTTTTATGTACAACTATCCATAAAATTTTGAATCAAAGTTTCGATAAGCATAAGAAAACAATAACATATATATATGAAATTTTGAGAAATGCAGAAATATTGCAACTCCCATTTTTCTTAAAAAATGCCATCTTCTCCATGTACTTTGGATTTTATTTAAATCCTGAAGCTTTTTTTCAAGTATTCTTTTTCTAGCTTGAGGTGTATCCATAATTGGGTCAAATTGAAAACAAGAAAATTTCAATTTCCAAATCTACTTTCAGTAAATTGTCGTTTTCTGTGTGACTAATCAATTTCACTTTAAGAGGTTAGAAAAATGTATTACATTTAGATAATAAGAAAAACGTACAAAATACTACAATTATTGTTAAGCGTTCGAGGGCCGCATTGGAAGCTCTCTGGGGCCGCATGCGGCCCGCCGGCCGCAAGTTTGACACCCCTGGTCTAGCACACTTCCTTCAGCAATATTACCGCACAAGAGAAATGAAATTACAATAATGGCGAAAAAACTCATAAGTTGTACTACATGCCGGAACAATGATTGATTTGAGGTTGTTTTGCAGGGTTCATGAACTAAAGGTCGATGCGTGTTCACAAGATAGAGTTGGCTTTTTTATCCCGAAGGATAGGAATGCTGATAAGATATCTTAATCATAATCTTGTCAGAATCAGTCCAAATCGGATATGGGATTCGTTAGCCAGTTTCGTTTCCAGATGCGTAGACATGATGATTGGGGGAAGACGTAACCAACCAGCAGATACGTGAACAATCCTACGACGGCGGGGATTTTAGCATTCCTCTCGTCATAATTATTTTCAAACAAGCTGTTTTGTAGCAAGCGTATTCTTATCGTTCAGAACGATGTGCCACATTGCCTGTATCTGATGATTTGATCCTATATACCCTTATCCATCACCACTTGTACAGTCTCCAAATACATCAACCAAATAAATGAATTGAGGTTACAAAACTTACCACGAACTAAACGTCCCACGGTATTTTTGTAAATCCAAGATCTGGCGGGGCTTAGTTTCTTCCACGCATAATCAGGGACATCAGAATATAAGAAAGGATTGAGGCCGCTGTTGATCGGAATAATAATCAAACCTACTGGAACGTATGCATCATATGGTATGCTGATACCTGGAAAGAGAGAAAGACAAAGCATAGACCCCATGGTATGTTGATTCCGTTAAAAAGAGAAAGATATTCTAATATAACAGATCAATCCCGCATTTAAAAAATTAAAATTAAAAATTCATTCAATATAAAATTCATAAAGACGGTGTTTTTACATACAGTTGTAAAAGTTCGTCTCACCGAAAACTTGTAAAAAGCCCATTATGCAGACAGGCATCCAGCAGAGAAAATCAGTGAGAATAATTCGAGAGATTTTTTTTTGCATTTTTATTCCTCTTTCTGCCTTTATTTTGTCACTGACAGCAGCATTCTCTTCTTGTGTTTTCCTGAAATATTAAAAATAAAATATACCAATTCAATACATTCATCTCTTGCAAGGTTTTTCATGACAGAAAAGAGAAGAATTACCAACAAATAATAAATAGTTTGCCCGAATTATAGAAAAAGCATCTGCAAACATACACTACAGTTTATGGGAGTGTTTCAAATAAATGTGACAATGATATATGTTTATTCCTTCCCTTCTGAGATGTCGCTAAAAAATTGACTTTAGAATTGATTTATTCTAATGATGGATTTATTTGTGAAATATATATTATACAAAATTAGCCATATCTGAATAAAATTAGCTTCTTTTATCTTTGATATAGTTTTCAGTAGATAAATAATACAAAAATACCTGTATATTTTGACATATCCGATGAAAATGACAAAGAATGCCACGAAATTTACAATTAGGATGAACAGTGAATACAACCAAGCAGTGTCAGTATCAGGGTTTGGGAACAAAGTGGGAAGGCAAACCCCGTGAGTGGAGTAATATCCAAACCTACGTTTAACCTTGTATGTCGAATTTAAATTGCTGATTAGAGATTCTAGCAAGGACCATGTTCCAAGTTTTCTAAATAATAAAAAAAAAAATTTTTTACGCAAACAATATTGTTACAGCACATGTTTAACCGCCAGTCAACCAATCTATAGGATTGTATAAATTCATGATCTTATCTAGTGAGAAATTGTGCAGCTTGAACGTATGTTTTTTTAATCGAGTCTCCAGATTTTTAAATTGGTTTTCGAAAAAAGCTTTGTTCAAAGGGAAAACGTGAAAATTAGTAGAAAATATTTGCCTAAAAAACTTGATCATAATAAACATTAAATTAAAATTCATTTTTTTTTAAATAATATTCATCTACAGCAGTGATTTTTGTAACAATATTATGACAAGATCTGAGTATATCATAGAAGTTCGTACTCACTCTTCTATAGCAGGTTCATCTTTGAATCTCTGTTTTGTTAGAAGTGAACGAGACAGATTTAAAACATCGTTCTTATTAAGAGTTGAATACAATGGATGCCTGTCGTACCTAAAATATTTCAACCAGTCAACATGTCTGATTTGAACTATGAAAGCTTCTTATAATGGAATGTTTGTTCAAAAAGATTAAGTGTGATCTTAAAATATCAAGTCAGTTCTCAATGAGTTATGATCAGTTTTATTGTATATGTCACTTTACCAGTCCTAAAAGAGACTCTCGCTTTTCAAAACTATTATTATAACGATTAACAATTTAAACTATTATTTCTCTTGTGAATAAGCGATCGGATCTTCTTACTTATACAAGAGTTGTTAAACGTTAAGAATTCAGATGCTTTTCGTGTCTGAAAAACAACAAATTCTATTTTCTCACCAAATGCTGTCGATAAAAAAGTCCTGAGTAAAATTGAATACCGGAATCACTCCCAATAAGATGGAAACTATCCATGAAACTGCCATCAGACATGCAATCATCTTCATTGATGTTTCTTTTGCAAAAGGCCTGCCAAAACAAAACTCAAGAATTTTTTTTGCTTAAATAAATGGCCCGTTATTTTTTTTTTCGTTTTATTTATCTCTTTGTTTATGTTTAGAGGTTGCAGACAATCGAGTATCAAAATGATTCAAAAATATCCTGGTTTGTTTAAAAGCATACAAACAAATTTACCATAATACAGTTTTCATTCGAAATCCTGTAATGATGGTTAGAGTAAAAACAGAATTTTCTGATCCAATCAAAAGCAAAGTTCCAATAGCAGAACATGTGGAACCACTTCGCCATTGTCTGTCTGTTTTACAATAATCCTTTGTTATTGTTGCATTCTTTATACAAATGGCCAATGTATATATCTGTAAAATAGTATGATTTTTCATCTCACTTTCTTTGATTTATTATGTGTTATGATCTTAAATCTTGAATACAGATTAAATATTTACAAGAAATCTTGATATGTTCTTTTAACAATATTACTTCTATGATAAATCAGTTCGTAAGTTTACCTAAAGATGACAAAACGCTAACTGGTGTTGAAATAAAGAAAAAATATGCTATAGTCATATTTACCAAAAAAATTATGAACATTTATATATAGTTTCAAATCAGCAAAGTTTGAATAAATATTGGTGCAGGTATAATTATACATACTGTACACTTACCCCTACAAGTAAATCCGAGAGTGATAGGTTAAATATTAAAGATTTGTTGATTAATTCAATTTTTGAAAGTTGTTTTTCAGGAAAGAAGATGTTTCGAATCGATCTGCTTACCACGAATGTATTTCCAATAACAGCAAAGAAAGCTACATGATAAATTAACAAATGTGAGATATTGCCACGACCCAAGCAATCCAAGACAATTCTTTCAGAATATAGCTTGGTACAAACATTAAGGATAAAGTTTGAATGATTTCGCATGGTCAGTGATTAACACACAAAAAGAAATAAAATTAATAAAAAAGTATAATATATTTTTTACGCTTTAGAAATTCAAATAATTGTTTTCAAAGTAACAATAATAATATTAGCTGCTGAGTTAAAATTCGACAATGGTATTCATCATCATTTTATAGAAGATATAGTCACATACAAACAAAAATAATTGTAGCTACGTATGTTTATCCTATTTCATAATGTATAGGATTAAATCAGTTTGCACACTGCATGATGAGACCAATGTCCAAAATACACCAATTAACATTTTCCATGGTAAATTCAGACAATCATAATATTCAAATATCATGAAAACCTAAGAAATTACTATCAATGCACGAATTTTAAAATATTTATAACTCACTGATCATCCATGTAAATGCAACAAAATATTTGTTGCTAATCATCAAATCAACATTGGAAAATGCACTAGGAATACATTTGTCAAGACATTCATCAAGACCGCTTGTGCAGTCTTCGCTTCCATCGCAAACCTACTCAGGCAAACAAGATATATAGATTTATATATATACAAAAAAAAAACGTTAAATTCAGGCATACTTAATAGGACACACCAGCTTGGATAATAAACAGTAGTTTGTGAATTTGAAAAATGAATTTTGATTTTAAATATGTCACTTTGCAGAGGTTGATAAATAACAAAACTGTTATCAATATTATCCATAGAAATCTTGCAGCCATGAAACCTACTCAGTCAAACAAAATCAACCGTTAAATCTAGACAAACTAAATAGGACACACTAGCTTTGGTTATTGAGCAAATGGTTTGTAAATTTTAGAACTAAATCAATTGAAATCATAATTTTAAGGATATCTCTTTGTTGTGGTAAACAAATTACAAAACTGTTAATATAAGCTGTTGAAATCTTGCTTTCGGAAAATTACGGAATAAACTCGGATTATATGACGAACCTGTTCTTTTGCAATGAATTTCGGCTCTCCTGTATCATTGCAGTAGAAATGTGTTTCATCACTACAATGCATTTCATCGCTTGAGTCTTTGCAATCCTGTTATTATGCATGGAGATAAATTGTCATTAGATCTTCATTTTCTGTATATCAGTTTTATTCAATGAAATAATGCGATTTGGGAGCAGGTCCATGACCCACCACCTCACCAAATGAGCATGGAATTAGTCTAATTTTATTTAGATAGTTTTATAATCAAAGTACAGTCATCTCCATTTTAATGCTAATCGTAAAAGATTCTGTGGACCAAAAAATGCAAAACACACAGAAATTTCATCCTGATCGATAAATAAAAATATCACAAACATAGATTTCTGAACGTTGTATTATTTGGGGATCTATTAGATACTATTAGCCATGAGTATATAATATATTTATATTTTAACTACATATAAAATCAAGCTTTGCACACCATGGTTCAAGGCAAAAAATTGTCGGGGTTTATATTCACGATTATGCTCAGGGAATTTTCTGCGATATTCAAAAATATTAATTTTAATAAACTTTTTACCTTTTGACTGTTACACACCTTCTTATTGAATACATTCAATGGAAATCCTGAATCGCAATAAAACCTGCAAATAACGTAATTATTAAATATGTGAAAAAAATATCAATACAAGAAATCTGTTTAATTTCTGGGATCCCAATATCAAAATCCTTGGTGACTCAATTTGTAATAAAGTTTCTTAATTTATATAAGCTGTTGTATTTGAGCAGCTTGTTTTGAGTATTTTATCGACACTAACAAAAAAAATGCAAATATTACTGATTTTAATATGTTCGAACTGTCATTGCCAAAATATGCCCTCTTTTTGAAAATACAACAAAATCAGAAAAATACCTATTTAAGCAATTTCTTTCATCTTCTCCATTAACGCAATTTTCTATTCCATTGCAAATTTGTTTGGAATAGATCAGTTCGCCGTTACTACACTGATAATACAACCTGCCAACAGAAACTCTACAATAATTTGTACTCAATGTCAAGGGGGAAACAGAATTTCAACAAGGTTGAATCATTTTTCATGATCGCGCATCTGCAGTTTACATTTATATTAATCATATGGTTTGTCCAGATATGTAGTATTGCAGAAATATTCATATCTGCTAATTTAAAAATATTTTAGCTCATAAAGTGCTTTGATCAAGAAGATAAATAACAATTTAACTCAAGATCATATCCCAATTCTAACCC